GACAGGCAGCCCAACGAGGAGGAAGCACCAATGCCCTAGCCGCACCAGTTGTCCGTCATTTAAACACATTAGCACCATGGGTGCTGAGTCACCTGTCAGCCCTGCTGCTCTGGGCCACACAAGGGGGCGTGGTGACAGGCGGGTGAGCACAGAGATTCCCCTGGGGCCCTGTTGGTGCTGTGACCTCAGCAGGACTTTGAGCCTCTCTGAGCCTCTGGGTCCCAGTTCACATCTCTGAGGAGAGGGAGGGCTCTGCCTTTTGAAACCTAAAAGAGAGGATATGAGTTTTTCCGCAGAGTTTTTTTCCGCATTTCACAGCATGCTTGCATTTTTCACATGCGTACATTTTCAGCCCCATCAAGGTGGATTATACACCCTTTTTCCATATAAAGAAATTGAGGCTGAGAGAGGCAACAGCACTGCTGTCACAGTTGTCAGGGTCAGAGCTGAGCTAAGAGGACCTTTTGGGTACCAGGGAACTCTATGGCTGCAGGGAGCATTGGTGGCCTAGTGGGTAGGGACTTGCACTGTCAACCCTAAGGTAAACTGTATGAATCCACCAGCTGCTCCGAAGGAGAGAGATGGGTAATCTCCTCACAGTTTCCAGCCTGTGAAAGCTCGCTGGAGGGTCAGCTATGAGTCGGTTGAGGTTTGAATTGTGTCTATAGGCAAGTGGAGTGTCTCTCTGACCCCCAAAGTCATTGTAAAATACATTGATCAGACACACTTCTTGGGTTGCTCCAAGAAAAAACTGAGATGGGGCTGAGAAAGCCGTGATAAGGCGTAGCCACAGTTCCTCTTGCTGCCTCCATGGTTGACAGCACAAAGCTGTTCTGGACAACTTGGCTTCCAGCACCTTCCTGTCGCCAAGGCAGACCTCAGAGGGGCCAGTGTGTCAGGGGCATTTCCTGCAGGGAAAGCATTTTCCAGGGCTGAGGCCAGGAGTCCAGGGGCAGCAGTACCCTCCTCCCAGCACAGCCCCTGCCCGGTGTTTTTTTTTCCCATTTGAAGAAGAAAAACATTTCCTCCTCACAGCTCTGCCCCAGGCCACCAGAGAACAGAGGATGGACAGGGCAGGAGAGGTGGCGGACACAGTAGAGGTGGGGGCCAGGGCCCACTGGCCATCTCTGCACCAGCTCACCTCTGACTGCTGGGTGCCAGGCAAGGTCCTGACCTTCTCTTAGCCACCATGTCTTTTTCCACAAAACCATGGGATTGGGCCAACCTTTCACTAATTTTAATCCTTTTTTAACCACTTGGATTAGGACCTACTTCATATTTGTCTTTCACCCAATTTTTTAAAAATGTCAACAAATGTCACCAGGGCTCAGACTTGAGTCAATTCTAGAATGCTGATGTCAACAGCACTGAGCTGGGGGTCTTCTCTCTATTAAAAACAGACAAGAACAAATGTTAGAGAGGCGTTAGACTGAGAACTCCTTGGTATAATTGGAAAACTTGGGGGTGGGGGGACATGAATAGGGTCTGAATCTCTGTTGTTGTCATGCACTGTGGAGTCAGAACTCACCCAAAGCTGACCTGCTAGTGGGTTTTCAGAGGCTGTAAATTACAGAGGAGGGGACTGTCCATCTTCCTACTGCAGGACAACTAGTGGATTCGAACCACATGCCTTTGGGTTGGCAGCACAACTCCTTACCACTAAGCCACCAGAGCTCCCTGAATATCCAGGCGGTTTAGTTAATCTAGAGTTGGTTAATCTGGATTAGTTAATAAATGGTTGGTTAATGGTAGGTCCCACCTAAATTCCCTGTCTCTGGGGACGACCCCTCTCTCCTTGGTACCCACTGGGATCGCTCTGAGAGGATGTCTGAGAGTTTAGCAAGGCTGATGGGGACATGGCTTACACTTTCATTCATATGGCCAGTAGTTACCAGTGTCTACTCTGGCAGCCAGGGCTACAGGGCTGCCACCATAGCCCGTTCTGTGTGCAAGAGCTCCCAGCTAGTGGAGTGAGAGGACAAGATCTGGAGGCAGATCTGGGTTTAGATCACCACCTTACTAATCTCCCTTCATTTCCCTATCTGTGAAATATGTTCAACAACCTCAGTAATCTTGCAAGCCGGCTGCAAGAATGCCTACAATCATGTTGGATGGCACTGGAAACAGCCCTTAGATGGACTGCTGTGTGGCTCAGGGCAGAAATTGAGGCCTTCGCAGACCCACAGTAGGGGCTACATGGACTATTAGTCATTGCAACAGGAGGAAGAGAAACTGGTGTTCGCAGAGTGCCTCGCACCACGTTTTCTGCTGAGCTATGTTCTCCAAGTCTCTCATGTTCACCAGAGTGGACGTGCTATTATGATTGTTCTCATTTTGCTGACAAGGAAGCCGAGGCTCAGAGACAGCAAGCTCCTCGCACAAAGCCACACAGCCTTGTACTTGCATGGCATCCCTGGGACCCTGGTCAAGCCCTCTGCAGTCTGACTCAGCTCCCACGCACCCATCCCCAGTCAGTTCTAGAGTACTAGTGCCCGGTTTGGCAGGGGACTTATGTCCAAAGTGTCCAGAACCCTTCTCTCTGATGGCCTGAGCTTCTGTGGCAGCTTAGAGCATTATCCTCCGGGCTCGGTGGGGGGAGCTGCAGGATGAGGCAAGATGAGCAGAGAGACAGGAAGGAAGCAAGGAGGGGCCTGAGAGAGGGAGGCAGAGAGGGAGAGAGACAGACTGAGAAGAGAGACTCCCAGACACACATACACACACACAAAGAGACAGGCAAGATCAGAAGAGGGGCTGTAGAGACAGAGAGAAACAGAGAAGGGGCAGATAAAGGCTAGAGAAAGATAATACCTTGGGAGAGGCACTGACAGTGGTGCGATGTGAGATGAAATGTATGCCTTCTGGGTTCCCCAGCCTTCTCCCATAGGTGGCACAACATGGGCCCCCATCCACCTAGAGACACTGGGTCCTGGTGGTTGGTGTGCCAGAGAGGGAGTCTCCAAGTTCCTGCAGCTGGATGCCTCTGGCCATGAAAACTGGAGGGGCCTGTAGAAAAACTGGAAAAAGGCAGCTGGGAGGTAAAGGTGGCCAGTGGGGGGGGGGGGGGGGGGTATAGAGGAACTGGAAAAAGGCAGGCATGCAGGGGGCTGCCATTGACAGGAAGGCAGGGTGTTGGGAAGAGGGAAGTGGGGGTGGCTGTAGTTTGGCCTTTCCTGCTCCTACCCTTCCTTCCTGCCCTGCCTGGGTGGGAACACAGTCCATCTGGATTTCTAGAGGCCAGACCACTTTGGTGGGGGGTACTGGGGGCTCCTGGGCAGCCTGGAAGTCTGATGAGAAAACCATTCTGAGTGGGGGTGGGAAAGATACTGGGGGAAAGTAGGAGGTTTCAGAGCAGACAGATTTCAGCTTTCAACCATTATAGCTCTGCATCTTGGGCCTCAGTTTCTGTATCTGTATAACAGAGATGGTAACAGTACCAACCTCAATTGGGAAGTGAGTAAAAGACACATATAGTGCCTGGCATCAGGTGGCAATGCTCTTCCCGTGACCCACAAAGTTACCACGTGGTAGCCCTTTTGCTGTGACTCCCTGCTTCTGATCCTAAGGCCAATTGTCTTCTGAGGTGAAAGATTTGGCCACTCTCCAGTCATGTCTAGGCATGCCGTTTGACTCCACCATCTGCTTGGCAAGAGAAGGACGGGCAATCTCCTTCCATATGATTTGCTGTCTCTGAAAACCTGCTGGAGGGTCAGCTATGCATCACTCCAACTGGAAAGCACACACCAAAAGCCAGTCAAGTCTGGGGGATTTTGTTATGTAGCAATTGAGAACCCATGAACAGACCCTAACCCAGCCTGTGCCATCCCCATCATCTGACACACTTGAGCCCAGAGCTGCACTTCCTTCCAAAGTCCCCAGTAAAAGGAAAGTGGCTGGCTGGCTGGTGGAGAAACTGGGGAGAAGAGTGGGTGGCAGGACCAGACTGTCACAGGAGGCTACTTGCCCTCCCACTCCAGGACAAGTCCTCAGTCCATGTGTCTGCTGCTTGGGGTCCCTTGTCCTGTCGCCTGGCTCAAGCCTGAACTATGTGCTCTCTTGTTTTCATTATTTTATATGCTTGACCTCTGAGTACTAGCTACTTTCTCCCAACTACTTGTAAAGCCTTCTTTATGGGGCTGAGATTTCGATGGCAGATCCTGGGGTCTGAGACACCTGGTTCTCTTTGCTCCATGGAGGCAGCCAGGTTTGGGGGTCTGAGGCCAGGACAGTGCCTTGAAGAAGTGGGTGGGGAGCTTGATACTGGGGACAAACAGGGAGGAGCTGTGGATAAAGCAAGGCACGGAAAGAGGGAGAGCAGCAGAGGGAGAGGAAAAGCGTGAGATAGAGAGGAAAGGAGACAGGGAGAGAATCTGGAGGGTGGAGAAGCAGAGACTGAGAAAGAGAAACACACGGGGGGCTGGAGAGGGGGTGGTGAGGAGACAAGCCGAAAAGAGGAGTAACGGGAACCAACAGGAAGGAAAAGAGGAAAGCCAGCCCGAGGGAGTCAGGCGAGCAGCCCAGAGAGGGAAGGAACGAGAGGGGCGAACGTCGGAGGCAAGGCTGGACCTGGGAGGAAGAGTACCGGAGGGCGCGGAGCGGTGGGCCTGGCAGCAGAAGTGCCAGGACCCATAGGAAGGGTCGCTAAGACAGCTAAGGGCGCGGGCCCCGGCCCGAGGCGAGGCCT